TTTTTTTTTTGTGGGTTTTCACTTTTCATCATTCCCCTGTTTCCATTATCTTTGCCATACACCCCACAAAACATTTTATAATATCTGTGTAACAGGCCTGAATGTCCCTCGCAGGATCCGAGAAAGTAATTCTAATTTCCCACTTACATTTTCTGACTGCTGTTTGTTAATTAAAAAAGTATTGTAGGATCTAAATTATATAAAATTATATAATATTGATTATTAAATTGAGTTCATAAATATTAAAATTTTTTTATTTGATGGTATATGTTTTATCATTGGAGTGTTCCTTTTAAATTTAATTTTAGGAATTTTTTCAAAATTTTTTTCATTCCCTGTTTGGGATTTCAGGTGGTGGGCATGTGTGGACCACTGTGTGGAATTCATGGGTATATAGCATGCGTCTGGATAAATTTGAATAAACAAACAATACTCCGACTTTTTTTTATAAGGTCTGAAATTCAATGTGATTACTGGGAGGTTGGTATAAAAAAAAAAAAAAACATTACCGGCTGCTTTTCCATTTTTCTGTGTTGGTCAATTTCTACCGTTGTCACCAAATTCAACCAGCTAGTCATTCGCCAGATTTGTGCAACGTCTATTCAGTGTTTGTTATAATGAAGATGTTGAAATTTGATCAAATTTCAGAAGGGTGCATCAGACTTGCTTTTCTACTGGGATTTCTGATGGTGGGTTATAATAGAAGATTTAGATTGTTCTGTTTGGATTTGGTCAGTTTTGTGTTTGCTATGCTTCTCTTGTGGTTTTAATCCCACAGAGACGACTACCTAATTGATTGTGGGTCTCCCTTCAATATCTACTCAATGGCAAAAGTTGCTGATTTTGGCCAATCTAGATCCATGTGAGAACTGCTGTAAAAGGAAGTTTTGGACATATAGATCTTGAATATTTTAGAAGGCAACAACTTCAGAGAAATCAGATGTGTTGTAGAATTCGAGTCTGGGCAGCTGGTGATACATGATTAGTCGGGATTCGAGAGGTTACAGCATCAATTTGTGTCACACCCCATAACCTAAATCCGGGGACGTGGCAAATGTCGTGCACTCGTAAACAGGTCTCACGAATGTATAAGGCTCGGAACTTATAATATCACAATCTGATACCATAAAATCTGAAAATAAAATTTTAAAATTTGCTCTGATATCATAAAATCTCCAAATAAAGTCTAGCTTACAAGATCATAATTTATATCTAAAATTTATGCTCAATTTACAAGATGGCTAGCCTTCTAATTCGTCACTCCTCTCGTTTTTTCCCGTCCTTGACTTCACTTCCTAAAATAGTGGATAAGGAAAAACTATGAGATAACTCAGTAAGTAAATATGGATAGCCCTTGGGTAAAATTTTAGCATGCCTGATAAACAGTTTAACATAACAAAACATTCAATGATAAACCGTTAATGCAGAATCAAATTCAGTTCCATAGCAAAGCATTCAATGACAAACCGTTAATATAGAATCAGATTCAGTTCAATAGCAAAGCGTTCAATGACAAACCGTTAATGCAGCAAAAAATTTAATAGTAGTCTCATCTATAAGTCATGGCCAGTGTTTAACAAACTCCCACTGGCAAGCGTCAGTAATAACTAGTGTTTAACAACTCCCACTGGCAGGCGTCGGTAATTACCAGTGTTTAACAAACTCCCACTGGTAGGCGTCAATAATTACCAATGTATCATCCCATTGGCAGGATTACAGAATGAACCGGTTATATCAATAAACATGTCGATATGTGCCAGCATTTGCAAACTTCCACTGGTGGGTGTCAATAATCATGACTATATCAAAGACAAAACCATGCAGATTTACAGAAAAATCTGTAATTCACAATCAATCTCAAATTTCATAAATAAACCAGAAAATTTCCATGTAACAGAAAACTCAAAATTTACAAAATTCTCAGTTCATCAAGGCAGTTTAGTCAATTCCAAATAGGCATGCTCTACTCAATGCAAATGAAAACAATTTCATTTCAAACCAATCATACTCGGTGCAAATAAAATCAATTTAAACCTTGCCACCATTTCAAAAACGATTTAAAACATACTTTAAAATCAAAAGGCATTATCATAATTTACTTACCTCAAATCCGTAATACCGGGAACTCAAGCCAAGTGCTCGGGTGACAGAACACTCAAGAACCTAATCAAAATACCCCAGGATTAATACCGTACTAGCACAAATTCAAAGTGAAATTGTCATTAGGACTACCCGTAATCACGATGCTATTTCTATCAGTCCCACATGACCGGACATCTTCAAATTTGTTTTTATATTACAACTAAACATTTAAATCCCCATTAATTGTTGGTCATTAGTGAGTGAACAGTGTCCGTGAACAGTAATCACGCTGTAAACAGTAACTGTAACTTCCAAAAATTTGGCAAAAATAATAGCTAATTCACGGGATTTCTCTTCAAAATCCCACAACAGTCATAATAAGCTAATTTTCTACATTAAGCAAGCTTAAAACCCATGTTTTAAGGCTACCGAAACTCCTCCATTTCAACAGAAAATTTCCAACGGACAAAATGGAGGAACCGAGCTTGGCAAAACAACACTAAGACCCGGCTATGCATACAGAACATCACAGTAGTCCAATCACAGAAAATTCTACATGATTTAACTTAAAACTCATTTCAAGGCTGCCGGAATTCATCCCCTACTTCCAGCAGGTTTTTCGGACAACACATGGCACCCATACAATCAATTAAACTCAACAAGGCAGCAATTAATGAGTAATTTCGAACTTAAAGAAGTGGCCATCATACCAGAATTTTTCCAACTGCAGAACCAGACTTGGCAGGGGGAAGAAGCCGGCGACAATTCTGCAGGGGACTCACAGAATTAACCCAAAATTGAAGGAACAAGAGGAACTTAGAGTAACCTAAGTTAAATCAAGTGAGAAAAGAGGAATTTCGAGCTGCTTCTTACCAAAAAACCTGAAAATTTCGCCATCCACCCACCAGCAATTGGCGAACAGCAAAGGGAGGAAGACACAGAGCAGAACAGATTTGGAAATTTCTGGGTTTAGAGAGAGTTCTAAGCCCCAAATCTTGTTCTTGAACAAGAAAAGAGGAGAAAAATAACAAGTTTTTGCCAATTCCTCAAGAGAGGACTGTCGGCAGCTTGGGGGGGGCTTGTCGGGGAGAAAAGAAGAAGAGCAGGTCGCGGGACTGATGAGGAAGAAAAGAAAGAAAGAAAAAAGAAAAAGAAAAAGCAGTTGATCCTTATCCTAAATTTTTCTCCTTTTTAAGTCCCTCAAATTTTGAAATTTTCACTGTTAAGCCTCAAAAATAATATTTCTTCCAAAATAAGTCATCTAACTTAATTGATAAAATTTTCAAAAATTTGGGATATTACAATTTGACTCTGATGTGGCATATTTTTGCTGATCTGCCCTGTTTTCTTCAATTAGTCAGACGTTCAGCCCTTTTCACTTTTCAGTCACTATAACCACATTTAATCGCGAACAACCATGAATAATGGCAGTTTGGGACTCCGTTTGACCGTGTAATCGAGCAGAGTAGTCGAGGAAGACCGGGGCCTTTTTTCTTTTTATTTTGTTGGCTTGATTTCTATAAGATGTGTTTTAAAAGTATATATTGAAGATATATTAGATATATTTTTTAATAATTAATTTATATAAAAATAATAAAAACTAATTTTTATTATAATATTAATATTACATAAATAATTTTAATTAATTAATTAAATTTAAATTAATTTTTATATAAATTAATTATAAAATATGTATTTATTATGCCTTTAACATATATTTTAAGGATATAAATAAAAAAAAATCCTCAATTAGCAGCCACCTAAAAAAACAAAAAAACCTAACTAATTCATTTTGGCTGATTTTCAATTCAGCTTATAATTTTCAAAAGAAACCCTTCCCAACAAATATAATACAAACAATGTTTTCAATTTCATATCTCCATTCATCTGAGTCGGACGGTTAGTTTTTTTGTGATTTTTCCCGATCATTTTCTGGTATTTTATTTTTTTTTCTAGATTTTTTCATATTTTCTAAATATATATATATATATATATAACCAAGACTAATGCCGCTCGGTTGAGTCTGGGCGGCCCTGGGCGCTCGGCGGTGGCTCACCGCCCAGCGACTTCTACAAACCTGTTTTGGGATCGTCCTATTTGAAGTTATTTTGTGCAAGACCTGTAACATATCCAACTTTTCCAAGGGAAAATGGTGAATTTGGCTGAATGGCCGTTGGAATGGCAGAAGAAAAGGGAAGTTGGAGCAAATAATCGTTCCAACTTCTTGTGGGAAAGATAGGCCAGATTCTCTTAGGAAGTTTGGAGAAACTGCAGAGAAGTGCTTGGCTGATCTCGGTGTTAGTAGGCCCTCCAGTCTCCATGGGAGATGTCTTCTGGAATTTGGAGTATGCACTTCAACTTGAGGAAGCAAAAAAAGCACAACAGCACAAACATGATAAGAGAGCTGTCTCCACAAGTCAATAATTTCAATGAGCATGAAGACCCTAGTATTTACTATTTAACAGTCCCATAATTCTAATTGAGAATCATGCCTGTTAAGTGTTAAATTCAAAGTAATCAATAACGTATTAGTATGTGTATCGTTTTTGCTCTTGAAACAATATGTATCTGATATTGAAATTTTTGATATATCATTTTAAATTTATCGATATAAATATATATTTTTATAAATTAAATATCAAAATTTAAAATAATTATAAGATAAATTAATATAATTAAAAACAAAATTTAAGAAAACCTTTTGAGTTGGTGACAATTCTTTCTTTCCTCAACCATTATCCTAATAAAAATCATTTGAATGCTTTAAGTTAAAAACATTAAGATGATGATAATTATTGAACAGATAATAAAAAATCACATTCAATTTAAAAAAGTTTCAATTTAGAAAAGCTAAAAGTTTCAATAATAAAAAATCTTTTTTTTTTATATTCTATATTTCAAACACATTGTATCAAATTTTCACTAATTATCCACGTGAGCTCAAAAAAAAAAAAAAAAAGGCAATTGTATTTGTCATCCATTATTACAATTTAAAAAATAGACACTCAACGGCTTCATCACAAGGGTTTCTTCAATTGTTTCCATCCATTGCTTCTGTCAAGGGACAATGCTTCTCACCCCAAGTACTAAAAACATTGCAAGGAGAGTCTTTGGAAATGACGATATCAATCCTCTAGAGACTCTCCTCTCGAATCCATGGTCTTCCCTCTTTATCTCCCAATATATTCACCAGGTCCTCTGCCATAGCTACCACCGCCGAAGAAACTCGAAATTGCAATAATTTAGAAATTGCAATAATTTAGAAATTGCAAAAATTGCAAAAATTGGAATATGAAATTAGAGCCCCTAGCTCGTGAATCGCCCTCCAAGATCCAAGATCTAGCTTGCGCGGTTTGTGAAACAAGAGAAGGAGCAGTAGTTGCAGGTCTGCACCACCGACGAAGAGTGTCCAGGACTCGAGGATCGAGGACGGCAAGGTGTGTAATCTAAAATTGCAATTGCAGGATTAAGATTAAGAAGCCCCTAACCCAAAACGACATCGTTTTGGGCTAAGGAATCCCTTAACTTCTTTTATAATTTGCCATAGTGTGTACCAATCGAAATTTCGGTGTACCAACTAAATTTTAGTGTATCAACTGGTATATCAAAATTTCGATCAGTACACCAAATTTTGACTGAATCACCAAGATTTTGACCAAAACAAATTTTATATTATATCGTTTCGGTTAATGCAGAAAATCGTTACAGTCGGTACGATACGAAATCGATAATATTGGTTATATTTATATAAAATTTTAATTATTTA